GCCTGGCTTCAGCCCTGGGCTTTATAAGGGCCAGGCCCTGCCTCCTATGGCAGCTGACTCTCCTTAGTTGTCCCGGCAACCCACAGCTGTACTCCCTAATCACCGCTAGGGCTCCTTATGCACTGCCAGAGCTTTTCCTCTGGCAGTTTTCCCCTCTCTAGGAGTGGGGCAGCGAGGTGCGCCGTGACAATCAGGCTGTCTCAGACGAAGAAGTCTCCTTTGTAGAGACGCATCTACTACTTACGTAGAAATACTCCACAGGAGATGAGAAATACCTTTCTTAAATCGGAGCTGGGCCAGGTCATAACGACCATAATCTCGTAGCAATATCATTCCTCCAGGTTTCAGAAGCCGGCTCAGTCTGTTAATAATGCACTGCATCCTGGGAAAAGGCAAGCAGTAAAATTCACCTGTCTTTGGTAATGCTTCCTCCATCCCCCATGAGTTTTCCAAAGATGCAGGTTCAGTTTTGTTATGTTTATTGTTTTAGTAAAAAACTCTCATTTGAAATGGTTCAGTAGATTTAAGGTTTGCAAAGGGGTCTATAGTAGGCATATTAAGACTACAGTGGCTTTGTTTTAAGCCAGGGGTCAGCAACATTTTCCAGCATTTAAAACTATTTGACTACACAATGCTGACCAAGAACATTAAGAGAAATTAAATTAGGTCTAGAGTATAGATTATAGTGAAGCTAAGGGATTAAGTTACATAAAACAGACTAGGCTGAAAGTGTAGAAGGAGTGTTAAAGACACTGAAAAGTTTAGAATTGATGTGGAACGTCCTTGATAAGTAATAATAAGTAACTACTACTACAGCTGAAGTTTTAAACACGTTTTTCACTCCAGGTGCAAGATTCTTTTAAAATGACTGATGCATTTTGACACTTAATATAAGTGTCAAGGCCTCCAACTTGAAAGGCACCCTAGCACTATCAGAGTTTATGCTTAACTGTTCACTGCTTGAAATGCCTAATTAACTATATTTTGTTGAGGCGATGTACTGCTCCTTATGATTTGCTATCCTTTGATTTTGCTATAAAACAATAAACTTTTAATATTAAGTTAGAACTATTTAATAAAAAGATTTCCAGAGACGTTTCTTTTTTTTTTCTTTTTTTTTAGGGTCTGAGACAAAGTTTTCTTGGAGCCACTTCAGGTGGAACCTGGTAAATTAGCAGTGTGAATACTCAATTAAAATTATAGAGAAAAAAACCGGAGTGTCTGAAACTGCAATTGTGTTCAGCTGTGGCTGCTTTGAACGTCAGGTCTAAGCTGTAGCCAAAATTGACTAAAATGTAGATTAATAATGCAAAGCAGTTTCCTAGCCTTTTTAAACAGAATTTTCCCATTTTGGGAAACAGACCATGCATATATCCATTGAGCTTTGCCACATGCCATTAAAGGGCAAATTATCTTAGTTATACAGCTTCTACATGACCCCATCCCCAGCTCTATCTGGTCCCAGCTCCATATTTGCCAGACAATTAAATGGCACGAACGCAGATTTACATCCTCCCAGATCCAGATGCAGAGGGTTGTGCAGCCTGACCTCAATCCATTTGACTAGGGCAGGGTGGAGCAGCCCCAATTTGGATGCAGGAGAGGGTGGGGAAGAGCAGTCCGATGCCGTGC